CTAATATATTATATACTAAATTTAAATCATGCATATTAGGTAATAGCATAATATCTAACCAAAATGATTGTGTATATTAATTACACTGATTTTTTAATTTGAATTTCAAAAAATTGACCGCCATTAAAATATTTAAAAAGTTACTAATATAGGTAAAAATGAATTATTTAGGCGAGAATTCAGCTACTATTTCAGGTAAATGCCAAACCTTTTTATATCTATATAGATTGGTGTGGCTGGATGACCGGCCTATCAAAATCTCAAATCGAATTATTTTGCCTCGAATTAAAAATCCATAAACCTGCGAAAGAACGTTGAAGGCGGCTACACAATCTTCATCAGCGGGTCCCAACATAACTACTACGAAGCTCAAGTTAATTAGCAAACTAATACTACCTCCTATTTTTAATATATGTCATTTTGAGAAGTTGCACACTAATTAAGAATATTTTTTTTGTAAATAATAACCTTATTTAATGAAGATAGAGATGAATGTTTTGAGAAAAAGTGAAGAGTGAATATGAAAAGACGTAATGTATTTATTGGCTAAATGAGGGTAATAATGGAAAAATATGTACAAAAGATTCAAAACGACATTTATTTGGCAAATAGTTGAAAAAGCTAGAATGACATTTAAAAAAAAATAGGAGGGAGTAATATTTTGTAAATAACAAAGTTGTAAAGTAATCTTCGAATCGTATTCATAAAAGATTAGCATGTTAGAACGTCAAAATGGGGTTTTCTTGTCGTTGGACACAGTGACAGATTTACTTGAGGCCTGGGCTGGGCTAAAGCCCGGGCCTCATATTTTTTTTGTAACAACTATTAGTGTAAAAAGTTTATTATATTTTTAGACTAGCCCAATAAATCAACCAACCTACTACTCAAACAAAATAATTCAATTATCTATTAATTAAGTTAAAAAACTATTAACACCGTTCAAACAAAATATTTTATATTTTTATCAACTCTTTTCACTAGGAATTAACCCACAAAACACCACTATACACCAAACTCCAATTAAATGAATTAACCATGCACGTCCATGTCTCTCATCTGAACACCGGAACAATGAATTTAGAAGAAACAAACAATTCAACAAGAAAAATGTTAATTTTATGAAGACGATTTAATTTCTTCTTTAATAGTAAGCTTTATTTTAATCCTTCTATTAGATATTTATTTCATTTGTCTGATTGTCTTTATCTATCTTGTCATTTTAGTTGAGTTATTTACAGTTTTAATATTAATTGCTAGGATCATTTGGTTGCAATTCTTGTTTTGTTGATTGTGTATGGAGCATTTTTGTGAGTGTCTGTTTTTTTAATCTCTTATCCTCTAATGTGGTTGTTGTATATCATAGTTGGATATAATTTATGATGTGTAGGCATTTATTTCATTTTGCTAATAACTATATCATATGAATAATCTATTTATTTGTATTGTGGAATTTTTAGAAATTCACATGGAGCACCAACCTTCGGCCAAGAAGGGAAAAATGCAATTGATATCATCGTTCTTCAGAAAATGAGATCAACATCAAACTAGTGAAAGCACATCAAATGCGGTGCAAAATGGACATAATGATTTTTTTTTTTTTTTTTTTTTTTTTTTTTTTTTTTTNNTTTTTTTGTAGAAGCTCGTCGAGCAGAACTTCAATAAATATTTTAAAAAAAAATATTATGTAATTTTTATGAAAATTAGTTTTTAAAATTTTAGCCCGGTCTACTCTTATTTCTAGATTCGTCCCTGGTTGGACATTGAAATTTTAATATTTTATTAATTAATGTCTTTACTTATTTTTGGACATAAATTCTAGATAAATAAGATATCTATATCTATATAAAAAGAATTACCATTTTTTAAAAATAGTAGGTCAAATTCTGGTCAAATCTCAATTAGCATTAATTACATTCCATACTTAGTAACTTTTTTTTTTCAAAAAAATCAGTATTAAACGCTACCCTAAAATTATGGTATTTGTTACTTTTCTTTCAAAAAATCGTGCTACCATAAAGAAACAATATTACATACTATAAATTTTTGGCTAACTAAAGTGTTTTGTTTGGAAACTATTTTATTTTAATTAAAACTAATTACGATTGATTTAATCTTGAAATGGTATAACAATTTTATTTTTTTTAATATGCACCATAAATTCATATTTTGTGGATTTAATTTAGGTAAATTTCGACTGATGCAAAAGTCAATTTTTTTTCTCTATTTTTATTAAAAAAAGATGATTAAAATAAAATCAAGAATTTCGAATTAGGCAAATACTATCACATATATCTTTTACTAATTGCAACAAATCAATTATTTATTATAAAAATCAGATTGCATAGTCGGCATGACAAATTTGTAAAAGTAAAAATTCTTCATTTTTTATTATAAAAATATGTTTACCATACAATCGAGAATTTTGAATTAGACAAAACACTATAACATGTATCTTTACCTAATTGTAGCATATCATGTTTATTAAAAAAAAATCGGATTACATAAAAATTGGGTCAAATTTCAAATTAAAATTTAAAAATTTTTTATCATTTGATTATTACTTTCTTTAATTCGGACTTTTTTTAAACATAAAACAAAGTCATATAATATTGATTTGAATTTCAAAATGAAATCGGATTGTAACATCCTAAAATTTTTGGTTTTGTTTAATTATCTAAAATACAAATTTGAAATTGATTGAATACACTTACAAAATAAATAATGATTTCATGCACTTACAAAATATCGTATATATTCTGCTAAATAATTTAATCGATTTATTTAAGACTATCTACAATCTTAATATAATTCGTGGAGATAGACGATGTACCAAAAGACCAAACAAATAATTTTGTGTACAATGACGTGTTTAATAATATATAACGTTACATTGTGTTTCATTTCAATATATGTATTTTACGTTATTCTAATCATCCAAATTTAACTGCTTACCTTAATAAAACTAGCTCGTGTATCGCACGGGTACCGCACTAGTATATATATAAAAAGAATTACCATTTAACAAAAATAGTAGCAAAAAAGTAGGAGAGAATTTAATGCAACTTATAAATAGTAAGTTTTATTTAATTTTTTTATTTTTATCTTCAAAAAATCATGCAACATTAAATGTTGCATTAAATTTTGATCTTTAATTAATTTTATTATTTAGAAGTTACAACTAAGATCTATTAATTGTGCATTTTTTATTTTTATTTTTTTCATAGAAATAACAAAAAACATTAAAATCTCAGTCTCTATCTTATAAAATCTCAATTCAGAAGGTAATAAAAATTTTAGAACATCGGTCTTCATATTTATGCCTTTCAAAAATATATTGAATGCTATTCTTTCAATATCATTTCCACTAATTATCACAATTTTTTTTTTTTTTTTTATTTTAAATGTGTGATAATAAACTTGGTAATGTTTATCAATTCTTTGTTTATCAATCTATTGTTTTTCCTATACTCGGTTTCAAAAAGTAAAATAATTTTCAAATTTTCTGTCTCAATAATTGTACATTTAAAAAAATAATTTAATGATAATATATTATTTGTTAATAGTACATAATTTTGAAAACTCTATTATAAATTGTATGTTGATATCCAAATCATTTTATAAAATCTCCACGATATGGTAAAACAAAATGAGACGGTCAACTCTGTATAGAAATAAACTAAAATCAATAAATAAATATGAAGTTCACAGGAAATTAATATAAAAATTCGTATAGTACACAGATCTGTAACATAATGCCCACGTGGATTCTAAATTCAAACTTATACTTATCATCTCTTCTGGAATAATATTATATTGTAGGTAAGATTTTTTAAATTATTTTAGACATGTTTTATCTATAAAATAGTTTAGAAAAATTTTAGGTGACTTCACATCTTTCAATAATGATATATAAAATCTTAAATGCTTGATATACGATAAATTATGTCACAGATTAACTCGACATCCTAATTACAATTATTAGTTAATATCGTTTACCCTCATATTTAATTTATAATTATTAGTTAACATTGTTTATTATCATCGTTAATTTATAATTATTATTTAATATTATTTACACGTACATCGCACGGGCTACACACTAGTTTTTTTTTTAAAAAAAATTACAACATCTATCAATTCGAGAATTATACTTCATAAACCAAAATATATGTAACATTTTGTACTTTAAGCACATAGTAGATTTATTGGGAAATGCTACGTTCAAAATCATTCCGTCAAAATTTGTAACTGTTAGATCAACTATCCCCGACGATTACATGATAATCTAACAATTACAAATTCAAACAAAAACGAAATGATTCCGTAACGGACCCCATTTTTTTTTCTCTCTCTCTACCACTACAACGCATGTCCATTGGTGGCCTTTCGGCCAACACGAAAACTGTAGCAGCATTTGGGTTTCCAAGAAAGCCCAATCAATCCCCCCAGCACCAAACCATCCATCAGCTCAAAGCTCATCAGTATTCAGAAAACACACACACACACACACACACACAAATTCGCCCAAAACTGGCAAAACCATTAATTTCTCTCTCCAAAACCCTATCTCTCTCTCTTCCCCTTTTTATTATTATTATCAATTATGCCCCCAAATCTGAAATTATTTCTCCTTCAGCCCCCCCATCTTCTTCTGGATCTCTCAATAAATTCTTAAATCAATGGCCTAATCAATTGTCATCCCCCTCTTACATTTCTCTCTGTTCTTCTGTCTCTGTTTTCTTTCATCATCATCATCATCATCCTCGTTTTTTTTAGGGTTTTGTTCTGATGTTCCATCTAAAAATGGCAAAATGCCTGACTGTGTGTATGTCTTGAACTGGGCTTTTTATTATAATAAAAGCCCCTTTTGCAAACAAGCAGCACCTCATCGTATTGTATGCCGGTTAATTCCTTGTATCCTTAACAAAGTTTGTGCCTTTTCTGTTTGGTTTTTATTTTTTTGGGTGTGAAGGAAATAAGAAATAAAAAAAAAGGTAAAAATGGCGAGGGATAAGATTCAGATCAAGAAAATCGACAACGTGACGGCGAGGCAAGTGACTTTCTCGAAGAGGCGAAGAGGGCTCTTCAAGAAAGCTCAAGAGCTTTCGGTCCTTTGCGATGCCGACGTCGGCCTCGTCATCTTCTCCTCCACTGGCAAGCTCTTTGAGTATGCCAGCTCCAGGTTTCTCTCTCCTATTTCTCTCTCTACATGTGTGTGTATGTGTACTGGTTTGTGCGTTTTCATGCTGTAGTTTCTCTTTCAGTACACTGATGTTGTGATAATCAAGATTTAAAAAAAAAAATAAAATAAATTATTATTTATTATTTATTCTATTTTACTGTAAATAAGATGTTGGGCAGATGGGTCCTTAGATTGTGCTTTGGTTTTGATTTTAATTCACTTGGAACAATTATTCAGGTATAAATATGACTGAAACCTTGTGGTTTTGCTGTGGCTAGCTAGCTTGGACATAGGATAATGGCTTCTCTTGAAATCATAAATCAATTCTTTAATTTTGTAATTATTTTGCTGGCCAGTACTCCACTCTATGCTGTTTTGGTTGATTGTCCCCTCATTGGTCCATTATTTCTTTTAGCAATATTCTTTCATCAAACGGTGAAAGTGATGCAATTCAGGTTGTAATAGCGAGCTTGCATTGTGTGCTGTGGACGTTGCTTTAGCTCACTATTTCATGTTTTTCCGTCTTGCTGAGGATTTAGCCAATTCTAGTGCTTTTAGACTTTGGTGAAGTTTCTAGAAAAAAAAATATATCAAACGACGCAATGCACCTTGGGTCGCTATAGAAACAGCCTCCTTGTATAATTACAAGGGTAGGGTCTGCGTACAACTGACCTCCCAGACTCTAACCAGTTGGGAATATACTAGGTATGTTGTTGTTGTTGTTGTGTTTACTTTGGTCGGTTTTCAAGATATGGTGTTGTGTAGTTGTCTTGTTTCATGTAAATATGGAAAAAGATCACTAGGGGTTGGTTTCTTAATCAGTTTGGGATTTATATATATACGTACATGTTTTAGGTAAAAGTTTAATTTTTGAGTGACAGTACAAATTGTAACAGTACTGACTAATGAATGCTTTAACAAAAGGGTCAATTTTTTTTTTCGCCATGTTATATATCTATTTTTTCTTTTACACATCATCCCGTCAAATAATTTCTTTTGTACTCCAAAATTCACGAAGTGCTATACGATATTACACTCGCATATCTAAATGAACCACCTTATGCGAAAATATTTCGCATTTCGTAATCGCATATCTAAATCAAACGCACAATTTACAAATGTGCGAACATCTTTCGTATTTTTAAGAATAACATATCCAAATCGAATGCAACATAATTTACGATGATTATGCGCCTTCTTTCGCAGGTTTATATCGACCTTCTAAATTTATGACTATACGAAAATGTTACGCATATAATTCGCATAATTTGTTGACTTCGCATTTTTATTATAATGCAAATTTGTTGACTTCGCATTTTTATTATAATACAGTTAATAAAATACATTATAATCATTTTAAAATAGGTCTATATTTTTATTAGAATATTCACTTGTGAGTTGTCCCACATTGTCTATTTAGGGAAAATATGTCTAATTTATAAGTCTAATGAGTTACTTCTCCTACCACCAATTGGTTTTGAGATGGAACCTCACTTGAATTTATGAGTTTTTCCTATTTTTGGTGCCCTTCAATTTTGGGACCACACTCGTTTTTCCCCCGTTTCTTACAATTTTTATAAATAGCCCCATAAAAACTATAAGTTGCCTCATTGAATTGCACTTGATCATTAGCCATGTGTCTATTAAATTGATCAAAAAAGAAAACTAAGCTATATATACATATTATATATATATATATACATATAAATTTGATTTTTTTTAAATAATAACTATTTCCCGTAAAAATAAAAAATAAATAAATCTTGCTTACTAAATAAAGAAATTTTAATATATATATATATTTTATTTACTTTGTTTTTTAATTTCCATCCAATATCAGAATGAAACCCGTTAACTTACCTTCAAAATTTTACTAGCATAGATCTGCGATTATTTGCAATATTTAGTTTGCACATTAAATAAAATTTCTATGTTAAATATATTGAACATAAATTTTCTTAGAAAATTTTAGTTTATATTTAACTTGAGTCGATCATACCGAAATTATTTTACAAATTTAATATCATAAAATTTACGAATATATGTCTACAAATATATCTCACGTAGAATTTTAACTAGATGATAAATTTTTTATCAAAATAATTATTTTATAGAATCACATTGTAGTCAAATCGAATTTCTAAATAAGTATTTTAAAATGATCTTTATGTTGAAATGATTCTAATGTATTTAAAATGATCTCTACGTTCACCATAAAGGCTATGTACTAACTTTAAATTGACATGTTTAATGTAATTTAGCACGACATAAAATTTAAGTAACATGTTTAACAAATTAATATAAGTAAATTGTATTACATATTGATTCAATATTTTTGATTTATAAGTATTAATTAATAAGAATTTTTTAAATTATAAATATCACTGAATATCTCTTACCCGTGCATCACACGGGATTTTATTAGTTTTATAAATAGTCCTATAAAAACTATAAGTTGTTTCGAAAGTAACCTCATTGAAATACAATTGATCAATAGTAGCCATGTGTCTATTAAATTGATCAGAAAAAAATAGTTTTCGTTCAAATTAAACGTGTCCATCGGAAGTGACATTAATTAGGCTTGGTTAAGACATGCATATTGTGCATATATGGTCGGTTCCTTGGTTAATATACATACATTCGGAAAGAAACTGGGAACTAGAATCGATCTGTGCAAAAAATAATCGAACCGGAAAAAAAATATATATATATTTTTTTTTAATTTACCGGACTGAACTAGTTATTTTTTAAAGATGTGACTTTTGGGCATGTCTCATCTCCGGCGGGACGTGACGATGAAAATTGACTTCATTTCAACTAATTTAAAAATATACATAACTGTTTTCAACAAACTCTATTCCAATGGAACTAGAATCGTGGCTATAACTATGATCCTATTCTTGAATTTGCTTCCCCATAAAATACAATGAGGGTAGTCCACAGGAATCTCGACGTGCCGGGCCGGGCATGATATACAAGAATGTTTTGAATCGTAATTTGGGCGTGGATCGTGTAATAGTCTTTCCGGGCACGCTGTTATTAGCAGAGCATTATGTGAATTTTCAAATGATGTCTGTGTTAAACTTCGTAAAATATGCAACATATGTGCCTTCCTCTGCCTAAACAGTCTTTATTAGCTTAGTGTTAAATACACAGAATGATCATCAGTGCATGACATTTACACATTCTTTTTTCCTTTCAATTTCTTGAAGTATGAAGGATATACTCGAAAGGCACAATTTGCATGCCAAGAACTTGAACAAAATGGATCAACCATATCTCGAGCTGCAGGTAAATAGCTAACCCTCTTCATGATTATTCCGCTTTAATTATATTTTTACGGTTATATTTTCCTTACATGAATGCAGCTAGTTGAGGACAGCAATCACGCGAGGCTGAGCAAAGAAGTGGCCGAGAGAACCCATCAGCTAAGGCACATGCTTTATTGTTTGGTCAAAATTTTCCTATAGTTATTAATCATGATGTTATTTGTGTAGTAATTAATAAAACATTACGTTCTACTATATTTCTATGAGCAGACGCATGAGAGGCGAAGAACTTCAAGGATTAACCATTGAAGAGCTGCAGAAACTGGAGAAGTCGCTTGAAGGTGGACTTAGCCGCGTTATAGAAAAAAAGGTCTTATATTCGTTTTTTTTTTTTTTTCGATGTTAAGTTTTGAAATAAAATAACAACCTTGCTAAAGTAATTTCTTTCTTTCCCCTTGTGATTTATTGGCAGGGGGAGAAGATCATGAAAGAGATCAGTCATCTGCAGGAAAAAGTCGGTTCGCCAAACTTCTGTTATTAATTAATATGCAGCTATGTTTAAATAATGTAGTCGAATAGTTATGTGTGCTCGAGTATACGAGTGAGTGATAAAAACTTGATGATTTTGTGATAAATGCAGGGAGTGCAACTCATGGAAGAGAACAAACAATTGCGACTACAGGTACTCGTGTAACTTGAGAAATAGCACTTGGAAGTGTATATAATGTGTACACTACGAAAGGAAGTGTAATTATCGTAAATTTTATGCATTTGTAAGGTGGTGAATATGTCAAATGGAAATAAGAAACCGGGAAAAACAGACTCACAGAATGTGGTGTATGAGGAAGGGCAATCATCGGAATCTGTCACAAATGTTTGTAATTCAGTTGGCCCTCCACAAGATTACGAGAGCTCGGATACCTCTCTCAAGCTCGGGTCTGTCGATTTTGTTACTCACATTTTTCACTTTTTTTTTTTCAATGAATGGCCTATAATTGCAGTAAATTCTGTTGTTTTTTGCCATTGTTAGGATGGTTTGTTATGAATTAAGGTAAGTGTTTTAATATAATCCAATATTTTCTTTAATTTGCAGGCTGCCATACACTGGCTGAATTTAGAGGTGCATTAGTATAGAGACAACATGAAGATGTCCAATTTAGAGGACATCAATCTCGGATATAATTTAAGGAGAACTTGAAGCTAACCCCGAAGACTCTAATATGATGAGATTAATACAAGTACACATTCATGAACAGACTCTGCGTTCGAGGGATGTGTTCTTTGTGTCGACCAATTATCTGTACGCATCTACATATTCGGCTTATGTTGTTGTGTGCAAGGAAGTAGCTATATATGCCACTATGTTATATCTCGTCTAATTTTAATGAATCCTGTGCCAGTTCGGTTCATGAAATGCATGACTACACTACTTGAAAAGTTTTCTTTGCAATGGCCTCTCAAGCTCATGCTTAAAAATGCTTTGACAGCTGACCGTAATTGAACCCCGGTTTCTTAAAAAAAAATATGCCAACATGCAATATACTTCTCTCTTTCTCTCTTTCTCTCTCTCATGCATTTGATATGTTTTCTCTTAATAAAATATAACAAATTTATTTTTAATTTAAATTGGTAGTATATATTAGTGTGTTGAAATGATTTGTAAAGATTGAATTTTATCTATCGAGATTAGTGATTAAAGCATGTATTATATTTACGTTTAATAATTGTTAGTATAAAATAAATCTGTTATAATATAACAATCTTGGTAGTAAATAGGTATGTTAAATAAATGAAAGATATAATATGATTTGTTTTGAAAAGCAACTCTAACAATTGATTAGTAGAAAACAATATGTTTACATTTCAAAGATGTGCGTCTTTTTTTTTTTTTCTTATTACATTTGATATTGCATCTCTTAATAAAAAAAAAATGCAGATTTTTTTTTTATTTTTTTTATTTTTTAAATTTGAAGCGGTAGTATACATCACAAATAGTGGGTTGAGATGATTTTATTTTTTAAAGGTTGATTTTTAAATAGTGGGTTCAAATAACTTTTGTTTCTTCAATCAAAACAAAAGAAATGCATTACATAATAAATTGCGTCAAATATATTAAAAGTTGAAACACATTATTCAAACGTTCAAGAGAAACTAAATAAATAATTTTATCATTTATAAATAAATCACAATTTGGTTCAAGAGAAAATACAATAAAATTTTGTGACATTTATTCATTTATTTATTTATTGTTATGTTTATAGTGAGCTTTTAATAGTTAATGAGAAGACTAGTAAATAAATAAGGGAAAAATTCAAAATTAGTCCTACAGGTATAGGGGGTGACATTTTTTGTCCCAACGGAATCCATAAAATATTAATAGTCCCGCAGCTTTTAAAAATGATCAAAAGTAGGACTTTTTTCAATTTTCCGGCTCGGAAAATTAAAAAAAAGTCTTACTTTTGATTATTTTTCAAAAGCTGGAGGACTATTAATATTTTTTAAATTCCGTTGGGACAAAAAATGTCACCCCCATACCTGTGGGACTAGTTTTGAAATTTTCCCAATAAATAATGAGAAAATTATATGTTGAACGATCATTTAACCTTTTTTTTTTTTTAAAAAAAAAAATTATTATTGTTCTAATTTTATTTGCAAACCTACGAAATATTTGATAGATAATTAGTTTTCATATTAGTTACCATAACAATTCCACTCTCTCTCTCCCAAACTTTCGGCCTCCCCGTTTTTCTTTCTTTATTCTGGTAGCCATATCTACAATTCTTTTGCCAATTAATCATTGAGGGCCACATCTACTCCCCAGTCATCCATGCAAAAATCGAGCCCCTGGATCATAACATTGAATTCGTCTAGTGCCTTTTTCTTCGGGTCGATTAACTCGTTGGCCTTGTTGGTTCCCTCCTTGAAGGGTGCAGATTCGGAGATTTTAGCCTCTTTAGAAGCTCCGTCCTCATCCTTATCCTTCTCCGCAGATTTCTCCGAAGATTTCTCCGTCATCTTTAAAAGCACAACATTTTTCAAACCCGAAGATTTTGATTTTGTTGAATACTAAGAAATTGACATTGAGGAGATGTAACTTGACAAAGGATTTGTTGAAAGAGACGACCCGATAGAGAAAAGAATAACAACAAAATAAATATGGATGATAATATATACATTATATAAACTAAACATATACAGTTTCATATGTGTGAACATTATGTATAATAATATAGGAGATTTCTAAGGTCCCGTCTTCAATTTTAACTCCCACCTCTTATCCAATGATTTTGTGCCACTTGTTTCAAGCTATGCTGCATCGGACGGTGATCATTATTCATTTAACATCCTAAGGCCAAAATTATAAAAACGGGATCGTGCTGTTACGGCACTGTAGCCGCTCTCAATAATATATACGTTAAATACACATACAGTTCTTATGTGCAATATATACGTCATATTTTCTGTATATTTGACTGTTTGCATCATCTCCGCAGCTACTGTTCGCGCGAATTTCATTGCAATTGTAATAAATTTGTGAAAGGAATGAAACTAAAAGTTAACGTAAATTTATACAAATCATGAGTTTGGGAACAAGTAAAATGAAACCACTGCATTTTTTTATATTTTTTTTTTTCATTTATGAGCAATAAATTGTATTACACCACTACCATAAGAGCATTTACGAATATCGATCAGCGCAAAAGTACATCACTACAATAGGAGCATCCACGAATATTTATCAAGGCAAAAAGTTTTGTTACTAAAATTTAAAATTTTACATTTAATTAGAAATTAATTTGGGTCAGATTGTGCGTGTACAATCGCAAGCCCACATGAGATGTCAACCCATCAGCCTCTTATGATTTGATTCTTACTCCTTATATTTTTACTTGTTTGGTCTCTCTATTCTTCTCCATAATGGATTGCTTTGTTGTTCCTGATCTAAGAGAAATTTTCACGCTTCCTATAAGAATTATAGAATATTGCACTTTTACGAGTGAAACAATTTTAATTGTATCTATACCTAAAATCTAGTATTATATTAGAGATATACCTCATGTAAATACACATACAAATAAATCGCTCCACCCTTAATTGCCGAGTAGATTCCGTTACAAATAATAAAAAAAAATTAAAAAATCTTGTTCACATATAGAATGATTATATCTCCAAAATAATATGAACAATTTTGTCTAAATTTTAGTAAGATAAGATATTTGAATTTTAAACTTTGTTCATCTCAACTGGGAAGAAACAGAAGAGCTCGATTCATGCAAGAAAAGAACAGAAAAAAAAAAAAATAGATAGAGAGGTAAATTTATTGATTGGTGTTGTGTTTTCGTGTTCATTCTTTTATTTTATATTTTTTGTTTTATTTTTTATCATTCATTAAATGAGTTTTTCACTTTTTTAATGGTATATATTTGGTTTTCTAGTGGTATATATATCGATTTTTTAATTATATATATCTTTTTTTAATGGTATATATATCATTTTTTTTAATTATTGCTCCTTTGAGAATATACCAAAATATACTGATTATAAACTCTGACTATAAATTTTTAACAGCAAAATATACAAAAAATATACTGCTATGAACTCTGACTATAAAGTTTTAACTATTACATACTGTCGAACTTCTTCCTCTTAAATTGTTAATTTCATGAGAGAAAAAAATATTGAAACAGAAAACACAAAAAATAAATATAATGAAATTAAACCATTCAATTTTCACTGAACAATAAAAACAAGAAAAAACTACAAAGTCTAGACTCATAAGCTAGACTTTAATGGTATATATATCATTTTTAATCATTTTTAATATATATATATCAGTAATGCTAAAGAGCTAACTGTTGACTCCGTTATGGAGCCAACAGCCAATGGGACAACTCCATGTGGGGCTGTCCCACATTGGAGTCATGTAGGACAGTCCCACATGGAGCTGTCCCATTAGTTGTTGGCTCCGTAACGGAGCCAACTGTTGGCTCCTTAGGATTATTGTATATATATACATACATATATATATATATCGTTTTTAATGGTATATATATCTATATATATATATATATATCGTTTTTAATGGTATATATATATCGTTTTTTATGGTATATAGATCTTTTTTTTAATGGTATATATATCTTTTTTTAAAATTTATCGTTCTTCTTCTTCTTCTTCTTCTTCTTCTTCTTCTTCTTCTTCTTTTTTTTTAATGGTATATATATATATATTTTTTAAATATATCGTTCTTCTTCTTCTTCTTCTTCTTCTTCTTCTTTTTTGATGAGTTTCGATTTGACATCCATGTTGTATATATAAAATAAATAAATTATATTTATTTTTATAATAATAATAAAATTATTTATTAAAATTAATTAAAAAAATAAAATTATTTCTCAATTAATATATTTATGTTTAATGTAGTTATATATTATAAGTTAGAAAAATATTATGATACAACACATGTAAGTCGCACAAGTAACAAGTGTCATACTAAAATATATAATAATATATATATATATTTTAAAAACTATTTAAATTTTTAACCCTTTTTTCCCATTAATTTTAAATTTTTTTTAAAAAAATTAGCAAACACCCATATAATACACGGGTGTTGTACTAGTATCCCTCTACATCTTAATAAGGGGAGGTTGACATGCCTCTTAGAATGACACGTGGCTAGCCTAAAATTTTTGGTTCACTTTGAGGTAGAAAATGTGGTGAGTGGGGAACTTGATAGACAAAACAATATAGTATGCTTTGCCTTAGTATCACTTGGCCCCTCTTCTTTTTAGTTTATTTACTCTTGATGTCATCCCATTGATTTTGTTCACTAACTTTTATTATACATAAAATATATATTTATATATCTTTGTATATAAAACTTAAGTAAAACTATAAATTGAAATTTTAATGTATTTTTAACAAAATAAAACCATTTATTAATGTATATTTTATCAAAGTAATAAATAAAATAAAAATTATTGTGAAAAAAAATAAAATTTGAGAAGAAGTTGAAGTAGAGATGCTCTTAGATTTTTTGTTTTTATTTTTTTTGGTTGATGATTATGCGAAATTTTAGGATGACTGGGTACAAATATTTTTACCAAAA